TGTTTCAGGGTTTGATCTGTGAGTTAGCCATGCCCTGACTTAGATCAGCCCAGAGGTTGTTTCAGGGTTTGATCTGTGAGTTAGCCATGCCCTGACTTATATCAGCCAAGAGGTTGTTTCAGAGTTCATACTCTGTTTTACCTTGTAAGCAGTCAGGTCTTCCAGGAAGGAAGCGCTCTACTATCAGTCCAGTCGTCATATTGTGCGTCTTTGTATCTAGTTTATCGATTCGATGCTTGAAAACCTCTCTCTTCTCCAGCAGGTCATTTACTGTAGCGGAGAAAAAATCTAAAGTTACAAAAATTCGAAAATTCTATGACCATTCTCACAGTTCCACGACATGGTTTTTTCATAGTTGAACTAATGTGTTATTTTTCCGCTGTTTTCGTCCTCAAAAGAAATGAGCAACTAAACCATACGAATCTCACTAACGTAGTTATAAAATGGCAAAAGATTAATTCCGTACCCAAAGTTGCATCATAAAACAGTTTTAGCATATTTTACGGCGCTTCCCAATCACACGTGCGAAATCGTACAGTTTGCCACCGCGACGAAGTAGAGTGGACGTCAATCAAGGCATTTCCATGACATTCCTTGAAAAACTTTGACATTCATGGAAACACTTTGATTGACGTCCATCAAAACCCTATTTTGTCGCGATTGCAAATTGTACAAATTCGCGCGTGTGATTGGGGGATAGGAAGCGCAGTAAAGACTGTGTCAAAAAGATTGGTAAAAAATACAATTAGATGAAAATGACTGCACTAAGATGAGAACAAGAGACATACATTCATAGTCACTTGTGATTGACAGCCTGGAGGACAGCCCATCCTTCAGAAGGTAATCAGCAAACTTTTCCAGTCTTGCCTTCTTGTACAGTTTAGTCTTCTTGCCAAAAGGACACTTTGTTTGGAAATCTATAAAATCATAATACGATATTTAATTGTGATTTATGGTTATAAAATAAAATACAACTGCTGAAAATTGAAATTTGGAAATTTGTGGGACATGTGGACAATAACAGGTTGGCCACGTCCAGCAAGACGTTTACCCCAAATCTAATGTTACATGGTTTTCATAAAGGCAATTACACTTTGTGTCAAAATTAAAGACAGAAAACCCCAGGTATACTACATATTGCCGTAATGCAAGCAATGTTTCATCTGTACATTTGAATGTACATCCAAATGAATAAAGTCTTTTTTATCATGTTTTATTTTGATGTTTAATGTCCTGTTTTGTTTTGGACAAGGAAAAAAAAATACTGATGAATACTATAGGGCACATTAGTGTCAAGTTCATAAAATCATAAAGGCAACGTTGTGCATAAATGTCTTGTCTGCTGAAACGGTTAATCCCTAAGATATGATATGATTGTATGATGAAAAATATATTAAATCAACGAAGCTTTAACCTTTTAAAGACAATTCAATAGGAAGAACCCAAGATGGTGGAAGATCAAAATCTGATGTTTCTTCCTCATTTTCTTCATCGTCAAGGTCCAGTTCATCATCTACTGTAGGTAACGTCAGCAAGGGTTTGTCAGAACCAGGGAACATGAATTCCCATCTTGCTGGGTCACCCAGATCATATACTAAATCCTGTCAAGACAATAAATACAGGATATACACAAACTGAAATATATGTAAATGATTTATGGCTGAATTTAATGAGAGATTTATGGTACAGAATATCTTTCCACACTTGAAAATGCCAGTATCTATCTGTGCAGCAAGGTGTGGGTTTAAGGGCAAAGCATATATGTAGTTACAGGATGTAATGTCAGATGTGACACTGGTCATGATAGCAAAGATTTCACCATGTGTCCAGCCCAGAGCTTCTGCCCATAATGCTGTTTTGATATCATGTGCAGAATCACAGGGCTGGACAAGTGGCTGAAATGTTGTAAACAAAATATCAGTCTCAATTGTGCTGTCTGACCTGTTAATGATGATAACGTAATACTTGTACTACCCACCTGTACACCATTTGAACAATCCTGCATGTTGACCCAGTAGTTCTTGTCATTCCATACACTTTCAATCCCAAGATAAGCAGGATGATTTAGAGGATGAGCTGACCCAGTAAGTGACTCAATGAAGAAGCTTTCTGGGACTTCTCTCTTTCCTGATAGTACAAGCACCCAACAGTGGACTCTCAGCCCATGAAGCTTGTCAGGTTTGGGTTTTTCTAGCTCCTGCATTAAGATATTTGTACATTATTAGTGCGATAATATGTTCAACCTCTCACTTTCTTGTACTAGATAGTTACTAACAGTTGTTGATCTAATGAGAATCAAGGATAGCATACTGTAGCAGTAGTGCACTTGCCTCTCACTTCTGCAGTCTTGGATTCAATTTCCAAAATCACATGTGAGTAGAGCTTTTTAGATCGACTCCCTTGATTCTAAGGTTCTTTCTCTGGGTTTTCCAGTTTTCCCCTAGGGTTTTCAGCAATTCTACTCTGGGACAGGGTATATGAAATCAAGCTCTCTCCTCTCTGGAACAGGGTATCCATTTTTGCAATACCGGAACAGGGTATGATTTTGAGGGATCTTGCTCTTGAATAGGGTCAGGGTTCAGAGGGCTCAGCGGCACATCCCTACCCTAAACAGGCAAGAGTACCCCCCCCCAAAGGTTTCCTCCCTGTGCAAAACCTAACTTGCTAAATTCCAATTTAATGTGTGAGTTAGCTGTGCCTTGACATGGATCAGCCTAGAGATGGTTTCAGGGTGTCAATAAAATTTGAAGGTTTTAATGATAACTATAGATGTATATCTGTTGATCAGCTTACAGCAATTCTATTGTCCTCTTCCTGCTTTCTTTTCATTTCTTTCTCTTCTTCTTCAGCCTCTTTTTTAGCTTCTACTTTTGCCTCAAATTTGCTGCGAAGATCCTTGGGTGGTTTAACTGAATATTTCTTGACTTCTTTCTTTTGTTTTTCTTTTGACACCTAGATTCAACAATCAAAATAATTTAACAAAACTATAGGGAATTAATGAACCAAAATATGTCTGTTCTTTCGGCTTTTTTCATATAAATCAGTCTTTAATTCAGCTAACACTGACTGTTATAGTTCACCAATACTTTATGCCATAAAAGAGAAAGTCTCAAATTTTCTTCATACAATCAGTCAAACATTTCTACCTCATCTTTCTTTTTCAGCATGGGACAGATTTCTCTGGTTTCATCCATGAGTGTTGTCTCTCGTGTGGCATAACCGCAGATGCAATATGCGTCATAGCCTGCACCAATCAGAAGTGAACATAAAACAATGCTGAACTCAAAGCAGTTTCCCTTCTGCTTCATCAAGACAGTGGTAGACGAACGCAATGTACTTGGCTGAAAAAATCAAATGAATCAGGTTTTAGAAAATATCAAAATGGTGTACATGTAGTTTTTTTATATTTGAAGTTCTGTAGACTTACCAGGTCAATAGGTGGTTCCAATGGTTCAAATGTAATATAATCAGAAACAAACTGAGCACATCCATCAAAATCATACAGTTCCTTGTATTCCTGCAATGTTGGACGAACATATGTGCAAATAAATTTCTATGAAAGAAAGAGAACAGTTGCATTTTAGTAGTGCCACAAACAGCACGGCAGGACAAACAGCTATTATTAAAATAACATCCTTTGAGACAATCACACAGTAAAAGATAAATATAAGCTCAATGAATTTTTTAGTCATACAAAATTTACTATAAAAACAATAGACGATGATGATGATGACAATATACTTCTGTACATAGAGTAGATTTCTGTATCCTACCTCTGTTTCACATTCATTTACTGGATTCAGTAACAGTGGTTTTCTATCTCTGTACAAGTGAACAAACTGTCTTCTGAAGTTCTCAGCAAAAGACAAGACCAGCTTCTCTTTTGCACTGAGAGTCTTGTACTCATTTGGAAGATTTTCGACATCGTCTTTCTTCTCACTAGAAAATGACAAACAAAATGAACAATGCAAGACAAATATATGAGCTACTGTTTAACCAGAAACGGCGCTCATTTAGCTAAAAGATAATAAGCAAAGTCTGAAACTAGATTATACTAGGACTACGATATTTTAATATAACAACTTTACCTAGCAAGTTTAACTCTAAAAACTTACGGTAGTTTGACGTCTGGAAGCGAAACTGTGATTTTGGCTAGCTCTCTTTCTAAAGCCTCCATTATTACAGTAATCAAGACTATTCTAGAGAAGAAAAAGGGCTTTAATACAAGACTACTTTTCTTCTTCTCTCTTGTCTCTTTTGAGTTCAGTCGTTGTTGACGGTTCCTTGACAACCGCCTTAGCAACAAACTACTAGACCTAGTCTCTTATCCTCACACGGTCAAAATATCATGGTACTGAGTACTAGGACCCAGTGCTCTAGCACGAGTATTCTTCTCACGGCCGCAGACTTGAGTCTTAGAAAAAAAGAAGACGAAGAAAACAGACGCTCTCGATGCCACCAGAAAAACCCTCCTAAATCCTCTGTCCTTCCGTCTATCATGCTACTGAGTGTCTAATATAGAATATAAGTGAATGAAGTTATGGCTTCCAGGCAATCAAGCCGTCGTCGAGGGATTTCTTTACCGCAGTTTCAAAGCGTAGGCGAACGGTTCGGTCACCCTTCAATCCACAAGTCTTACATGCGAGAAAGGTTTGCAGCCAGTGCGAATTTGTACAGAACGAACTTTCGAGGGCATTTTGGCTGCGTGAATGCTATCGAGTTCTCAAATAATGGAGGGGAGTTTATCGTATCAGGTAAATAGACTCAGGGTTTTCTTTTTTTCTTACTGTATGTTTACATAAATATAGTTATTCTTCTCCATGTTGCTTATCCTGAAATACTAAACCAAAAATGAAAATTAAATTATCAAAAAGTCACGAGCTTTTGAGTTTCGAAGTCTCTAATAAATGCTTATGAACTGAGGTCTACTGTTTGCTGATGTTTTTTTTTTTTAGATAAATGCAAAATGAACTGATAATATGTTAATAGCATGTATTAAATTTGATATTTGTGTCGCAGTGAAGCTACACAATATGCACGAGGGGGGACAAATTATGCATAACAAACCTGCTCTTTATTCCATCTTAACTATAATCGAACTAACATCCAACACTTTCAGGTGGAGATGACAGAAGAGTCTTGCTGTGGAATGTTGAAAAGACACTCTATCGTCAAGAAGAGCCAGTATCAATGAAAGGACAGCACAGGTCCAATATATTTTGCACAGTCTTTGATGGGGATAATAGACATATATTTTCGGCAGGTTAGAGCTTTTGAATATAGATTTGACTAAAAGTTACTCATGTGTAAAGCAAGTTTTCTGATTGGCTAGAATCTGTGCTAGAATTCATATGGAAAGAGGTACAAGATGTACTATAGATTATTTAGTAAATGTACCCCTCCGTAAATATAATACAATATAATAAACTTGCAACGTTAAATATAGTATTTAAAAAAAAACTGCACACACATTTAAGTATAGTTATGTAAAGAAATGAATTATTTATCAGTGTGCAATCTTGAGCAAAACTCATTTTAAACATTTTTGCCATTGATTTGAAGGGAATGACGATCAAGCAGTGAGGCATGACATATTAACGTAAGTATATTTATGTAAAGAAAAGACCACAATGAATATGGTTAGAGTGTTTTTAAAAGTCCATAAAAACTGACTTTCATTACTGACATGTATCTGTCACCTTTTGTTTAAAAACACTCTAATATGTAATCCATTTTTAATTAGTGGAGAGACGTTGGGTGTATATTTCCATGATGACCCTGTCTATGGTTTAAGTGTTCACCCAGAACAAGAGAATGTCTTTCTGACGGCATGTGATAATGGCAAGGTACAACTGTGGGATGCGAGGAATACAACAGCTGGTATGACTTGTTTTCTTATGCATTATTAATGAATTATATTTCATTTAATTGCTGAACATATGGAAGCCCTCATGTCCCTAAACTAAGCTTTCTAATAGGAAGACTAAGAAGTTTTTATGTGAAAATTAAAGTTTTGAATGATGATGTTTCAGACAGGTCTGTCAATATAACTAGCTAGTTTGATATAACTACTTAGCTTAGTAAGATAAAAAAATCTTCATTTGAATTCCCATCACCCAGTCAACAAGCAAACAGTCCAACTCAGTTATACCCAATATAATACGTTTTTTGTCCATGATATCATATATACTTAGTTTAATTATTAACTATATATTAACAGGGCTTAAAATGAAGGCTAATCAGTCAACAGTCATTATAACAGGCCAAATTAGTTTTATCTCAATCATACCTTATTTCTGACTAAACATTACTGGTCAAAATGATCGTCAAGACACAAATTTGACCCAGTCCCAGTTCTGGATATAGGTTGTCTGATTTCTGACCGTTATTTTAGACTCTAATTCAGCAAACTTAAAATGACAGCTGGTCAGTCACCAGTTATGTTGACCAGCCAAATTAGTTTTAGCTCTGCCATACCTTTCTGGCTGAAGGTTACTGGTCACAGTGACTGGTAATTATAAGGCAAAAATATGACCAGGCAAGTTCCAATTCAATCATTGTCCAATGATCAGCCCATCACTCTGATTTAGGAATAATTAGTAAACCATGTGGTCTAAAAATAGTACATATACTATGGTTACATGGTGTAAACTTAAAGGTTTTAACTTAGATGTGTGAGTTTATTCCTAGATATTTCATTAACTCATATTGATCATTGTCATCGATAGGTTCTTCTCAATATATAGCTGATTACTCCTCTGCATTTCACGCTGCTGTTTTCAATCCTGTGAATAGTGTTCTGATTGCAACAGCTAATTCATCAAAAGGTGTTCAATTATGGGATGTTAGATTCCCAAAGAGGTGAGTAAAACTGATGATTGGTTAAATAAAAGTCAGTATTATACAGAGGAATTGCCCAAAAAATCTAGATGATGAGATTTGTCTTTGTTTAATAAGCTTATAAAAAGTGTACCTCTAAACTGGAAAAAAAATCCTGTTCCTAAATGTTACAGCAAGCCATCTCACTCCCCTTCATTAAAATAACTAATAGATAACATTCTTGCATAAAATAGAGTACTACATGAGTATAACAGTGCAATACCCAAGTTATGTGCAATGGGAGTCAAATGGAACATGACAGGCACCTTTCTCACAGCTCTGCGACGGCGATTACCTCCAGTTTTGTACAGTATCGAGCAAACTCCTGCCCTGGTAGAGTTTGAACATCCTGGTTATAATAATGTCTGCACGATGAAGAGCCACTGTTTTGCTGGAGACAAGGATCAGGTATTTGAAAAAACTAATCTCAAAACAGGGTTGGATCCAATTGTTTTAGGAGGTGGTGTATTGTCATTATAATCAGGACATTTACAAATTCAAGCACCTATAATGCAGTAGATTTCCGCTCACCTAAAAAGTGGGCTGCGCACCCCCTGCACCACTCCTGTCTGCCTTGATAAATAATTAATCCTTTGTGCGCTTCAAGACGAGATTACCTTGATTGAGTTGTCATGAACTTTAAGGAGGTTGGAAAGTGTTTTGTGCCTTCACATACACTTACAATTATGAACTAAAAAAAATTAATATGGCTATAATATCACAGCAAGTAAACACCGGAATGCCAAAGACCATAAACCAAAGATCACAATGAACATGAAAATATGACGTCAGACATTGCTATGACAACATCAGAACCCTTAGTATGCTATCAAAAATGTTCATTTAAAAAATCATAACTCAGGAACCAAATGGTGAATTTTTTTAAAAACCAGAATATTTCAAGTTTGTATCATAATCTTCTTTTTGGCAAAAAAAGTAATAAATCTGTAATAGGAATTTCGTAAAATCAATAAAATTTGTTTGGAATAGTTCCCTCTTACAGAATTTTTTAAATTTTTCCTTAAGTTTTCGAAAAAACATAAACTAAAGCTACATGTATATGCAAAATTTGAAGAAATTTCACCACAGAGTTTTTGATTTTTTTCAGTTTGAATATTAAAAAATTATAGAGCGCACATGCGCTCAAGAAAAACTGTATCGATCCTCCTTAAGTGTCATATTTAGAATTGACATGTTGATATTTTTTCTTTTTACAGTACATAATATCTGGCTCAGATGACTTTAATATATATGTATGGAAAATTCCTGAAATAATAAGTAGCACAGCAATGCAAGAACCCATCACTGTTGACAGAGCATTTCTAGTTCTCTCTGGTCACAGATCTATTGTTAATCAAGTTCGTTATAACCCAACCACATGTATGATTATTTCTGCTGGAGTAGAAAAAATTATTAAGGTAAAGATATGATGTGTGATGTTTGTCTATGTCTTTAAAAGGATGTTTGGTCAGAAATAGTCCAAGTTGGCTCATTTGGTAAAGCATTGGACTCTTGTGTAGGAGGTTCAATCTCCCAACCTAACCAACACCCAAGGTCTTTAAATAACTGAGGAGAAAGTGCTGCCTTTGTAATGACATCTACAAATGGTTAGACTTTCAAGTAGCCAAGTTTCAATCCAGTATTGCCATGTTACATCAAAGAACCGCTGGGGACGTAAAAAAATTCTGAAATAAATTAATGAAGAAAATAATAAAAGAAACAAATATAATATTTTCTAAGAGGGTGGGAAGGGCAGAAATACCATGTTCTAGAATTAAGCCAGCAGAAAATTGAGTTTTTTCTTTTCGATTTCTGAAGGTTTGGAGTCCTTGGAATCTTCCTGGAGGTCAGGGAAGTATCTACAAAACAGAATCATTATCAGAGCCCAAGCGCATCCTCTATACCCATGATGACTATGTGAATCTTGTGCTGGACAGTGGCCAACCCCTGACCCATGAGTATGAAGGGGGGTCCATAGATGAAGATCCCAGGATGTTGGCCTTTTTTGATTCTCTCATTGAGCGAGAGCAGAGAGGATGGAACTCCAGTGAAAGTAGTTTATCTGGTGAAGATATCTATGCACGTTTTTTGGGGCTCAGAAGTAGCGAGAGCAGTACAGATAGTGATACAGATGTAGCAATTACCAGAAGGACTCATAATATCATGGCAAGTGAATCACATAACTCTGATGATGAAAGTGATCTTGCTAATTCATTAGCTGTCCTCCAGAGAATGCGACGTATTCGTAGAGCAGCATTCCTAAGGGGACTTCAGAGAGCTACTGAAACACAAGAGGGTGAAAGTGGCCAGGAGAATTCTCCAGGATATTTTTTACGACATGTTTCTAGAGAACTGAGAAGGGAAATTGAAGATGGAACTTCTAATTCAAATGATTCCCAAAGTAATTTTTTACAACAAATTACGAGGGAAGCAATCATATCATCCTCTGATGATTCTGATGAACCTAATGTCAGACTAGCCCTTCCTGAGCAATTACTTGAAGATCATTCGAATGAGACAAATTCTGAAACAGTAGCATTCCGTGCGACAAGGGTTCGGGAGAGGGGGCGACAGTATAGAATAAGAACTAGAATCTTAAGTAGCGACAGCAGCTCAAGAGAAGACAATGAAACAGCTACAAATTTGAATCATGTTAAAATAGCTAGGAGAAATAATAAAAGAAGGCAGTTATCATCGTCATCCTCGTCCTCATCATCATCATCGTCCAAGGATAGTGAGTCAGATGATGATGGTAGATGTTGTCAAGCAACAACAACCAAAAGGAAAAGAATAAAGACACAACCAGAATCAGATAACAATGAAGAATCTAACACATCTAATAAGCCAAATGATATGTTAATAGATGAAAATGACAGTCATAACAATGAATATACAAACAGTGCAGTCACAGAAAATGGAAGGCTTAGTTCTTCAAATGATGTGTTTACTGATCAAAAAGAAGATAAAGGAGAAGCACAGGAAAAATCATGTTATCGCAATGGACAAAACCCCAATACAGTTCATAATCATAACATGCAAACATCAAATGGACATTATACTGAAGGTTATAGCAGCTCATTGGGTAACATTAATAATCACTCAGCTCCAGACTGCAGCAATGTGCTCCATGCAGATGAAACTACAAATCAATCTCAAAATGATCTGAACATTTTGGATGGGCAGAAAACTTGAATCAAGAAGCAGTACAGATGCCAAAACAACACTCCAATATCTTAAATCAGTTGACCTTAGTCTTAGAATAAAGCACTCTTACCTACTACTACTGTTAGTTTTGAATGGAACTCTTTGTATTGCTCATGAAAAAAGGAGCTCAGGACCTTAGAAAAACACCTGATAAAAGAATAATTACAACTTTGGTAAAAGATAAATTCATTAAAAAGCAGATAAACACATTCCAGTTTTTGCAAAATATAAGAGCAAAATAATGTCAAGAAAATATTAATAAAAGGTATATACAATAAATAATTAGATCAATTTTATATATTGTATTTTTACTGTTTGGTATGGGAATAAAAAGATATGAAATACATTTTCAGAATCCATGCATATTATTTTGATCATATAACTAGCAAGAGACCATGTTTGGCTCGTGCATATGTTTTGGTTTTTTTCCATTAGCATTTCAGACCATGGGTCACTCCTTTTGTGAATAATTAAAATTATTTTGACTCATCCCATAGGATTATCTTGAAGTCTAAGGCATCATTGATGCAGAAACGGATTATCAGAAGGAATGACACATTGTCTGAAAGGATAAAACTTTGCACTTAATTCAGATTCATAATCACCCATTTATAGTTTCTTTTTTTATTTGGGGGGGGGGGGGAAGGGAGGCTATTGAATTCTTAAATTTCCATGCTCAGTATCAATTGCTACTTAATATTAGTCGTAAACAAGTAGTCTGCCACTTTTCTTTGACAGACATAGAATGAATGAAGCCTTGTACATTATGTTTTCCTTTCACTGCATTGGACTTTCCTGGTCCTTGGTACTTATCCAATCCTTTTATTTCCTGCATTCCAACTCAAAAATAATTGTATCCACAGCTTTATTTGCTATGATTAGAGCCTTGTGATTAGTTTATATTGGTGTTGGTTTTGCTTTCATTTTTCCAGGCTTTAAGATCATCTTTTCTCACATGTGCAAACCCTCCAAGTTCAGCTGTCGTGTAGAAACCTGTGTTCAGCAAAAAGTATTAATTTTTCCATCAATATGCATTCACTGATAGGGATCTCACAAGACTGGCACCTTGAAAAAACATATCACATACATTGGCCTAGAGGTTGCCATTACAGAACTAGCCATTCACCTTCCAATAATAGCATTCTATGAAAAATGAGTATTTTTTACTGTTTCGTCATTACTGATTGATGCCATCATCAGAATGATGATCAAAATGGCATTCTACTTTCATGCATCTAATCTAATGTACAATACAGGCTTTGCACCATCATCTGATGGCAGCCTTGACTTTTTCCTTCTTTTCCTAATATTTAATGAACTTAACAAACAAATATAGTTCATTGATAATATACATTACACTATCTTCACATCAAAAACCAATCATATCCAATATTTTATATACCTTCTAATATTGATGGATAGTTGTTGTTCATCCATTTTCTATAGTCTAAACAGAAGTGTTGGAAGAAAGAAATAGGAAAAAAATCATTATCATGTTATAGTGTCAGATCCCTAAATAAGGGGGTGGACGGGTTACCTAGAAATGCATCCCAATATAGTGCCCTTTTTAGGGTGGGGGACCTGGCCATCCAATCCACTTCCTGGATCTGTCCTTGATAGTACAGTACACACACATATATATAATGTACAATTCTTGGTTTGCAATCAATCCCAAGAGAGCACAATAACAAAAGGGATGTCCGCCATGTTGGAAGATATAACAAAAGAATTCATTGAAAAATCTTTTGTCAAATTCTTCCAACATGGCGACTATGACGTCTATTGCAAGAATATGGTTTACTGTATATTCATTATGTAAGTCTATGTACCTTGATCAGTATTCATCTTGTGCCATACCCTAAACGAGGCTAAGAATGCTGCCACTTCACCAACAATCACAGCTCTGAGGATAAACCATTTACCCTTAGCACTCAGCCTCATCACCTATAAAATACTTAACACATATAGTGTAACCTACAAAGTGCAGAGTCTATATGAAAATGTTGGTTCATTTCACCACTCTAACCGTTTAGGACTGGCACTAGTACGTACGTGTCCTCTTCGCGGGCTCAATTTTCAAAATGGCACCGAATTGAAAAAAGCCGAACTACTATTTCTCATTTAAAACGCAAAATTCTACTCCTTATTTCAATATTCTAACCACAAAAATGGATCATGGACATAGCCATGCTCACCAAGAGCCACATGGTACAGGATTTTACCCAAGTTCAGCGTCAGAATGCTCTGAATTGGGTGTTTATTCGTACAATAGTAGCAATGTGAATGGTCTACCAAGCACTGAGAATACAGGAAGATTTCTTCGTTATGTTCCCAACAAGAAGGCATTAGCCGGACAAGTAAATATTGATATTAATGAAAAAGATATTAATGAACAAGGTAATGGAATAAAAACAATAAATTATGTTATTGCGCAGCTAATATGTTTTGATTAAAGATTCATATGTATCCTTAATTGAAAAGTTGGTTACCTTTGTACAAATACTGTCTACTTAAATTTTATGCAGTACAAATAACCATCAAAGCTATAAATATTGTACAAAAATTAATATAATAACTATTAACCTTTTAAATTTTGTTTCAATAGACTATTATATTAATAACCATACTTATTCATTTTCGTAATTCTTCATAAATGTGATGAATTATTCTGTATTTTGTTATCTTATCTATTTATATTATTATTTATTTATCTATTTATCATCTTGGTTAACAACAACTGCTAGGTCATTCATTTATTTTAGTTCAGAATTTTGCAAAATGTTTCTAAGAATAAAACAGCTGATAGAGTTATTGGGGCTAGCTCCACATTTGTGTCAATATCTGACTGACTTCTTCATACTCACATTCTTCGTTTTACAGAACAAAACCTAAGGCAGAGAGGATCCCAAGAAACAAATAACAAACCACTATCAGTAAGTTTAGAGTAATACAGAACTTTTCTAGTGATGACCGGCTTATGGGAACTATATAATAATCCTCAGCTGATTAATAATCTACCTATATAAAATGAATAATTAAACAAATGGTAGATTATGTATTGATTTAATGGTTGGATATTGGCTTTAAAAAATATATACAGAAAAAGTAGCAGTATAGTGGTTATAGTACATAATATGTAAGCTATTATACATGTGGTCTAACCCATGGATGACCATAGCTTACCATTAGAGTTTCCAGTGGCTCAAAGAGTGGTTAGAGTGTCTGACTAGATTACAGAAGGTCATTGGTTCAAATCCCATCTGGAACTCAAATTTTTTGTGAGTTCTTTCTCTTCCACCTCTCACTTCTTGTTCATTCATTTAGTATCTCCACTAGCGTAGACAAAAACAATAGCTGTTATCACAGTGAGTTGAACCCCACAATGATAAATCAATCGTAAGAGTAAGGCTATCCAGTTGATACAATGCTTGTCTCATTGCATCTCATTTGCATGCATCATAATATCTTCTATCGTTTGGCTCATCGGCATGAATATAGTGCAAGACGTCAACCTGTATATTCTTGAAAACAGACAATACTAATGTAAAGTATTTTATATTGTTTCAGAGTATTATTAAACCATTTCCAAAAAGAACATATAAATTAATGAATGTTGTCAGAAAGGAGCTCAAAACAATCTTAGCTGAAAAACAAGTAAGATTTTTTTGAATTACTATTTCCTAAATTACGTAGTATGCCTGTATTTTGTATTTAATACCTGTCCTACTGTAGTTCTCATTCTTATTTTTTGTTTTAGGGTTGGAAGATCTTCTGGTTATTCCTATTGAATTTGGTTTTAACATTTACTTTATTTGTGTATAGTGGATCAACAAATAGCTTAGGTAATAATTATACCATGATTAAATATATGATGTAAAACAGTCTTTCAAAGCTTTGCTTTGTTGATTAGCTTTCTGACTTATATAGTAGACCTCTTTACCTTGGGCATTATGTTTTCCCATTTCACACCACTTGTGGTTCACTAAAGGGTCCTTACTTGTTGTAATGGTTGCACATCATTGACTAGACACATGAATATGGACACAACTCAAACTAAGATCTAATTGTCAAGAGAACTGAAATGGGAAAACATTATGCCCTTCAGATGTCTATTGTCTATTAGAGTACTGACAACTATCCCACTTGCAGTGTTAATATCAATAGTAATGTGCCATTTCCATTGTTCATGCTGATTGCATTTTTTCTTAAACTAGATACTCTATGTTTTAATTGTCAAAAAAACACACACACAAACCCAAGCTGCATCCATCATTGTTTCAATAGCCTCGAGCGTTTTTGCAACCAGCAATGAAAGTCTGGACAACAGAGAATCGTATGCATTTCCTCGATCATTTATTTGAGGACCCTTTTTCTATTTATATCTTTTCAAATTGATAACCAGGTTTTCAATTTTTTCAGCTTTGATGGCATTTAGTTATTTAACAATATTTGATTTATTGAGGTGAGAATGTTATTACTAATACTGCATTATTTCCGAGTTCCAAGTGTTTTAAAAAAAACATTTTTCATGTCGTTGTTTTCTATTTTAGTTTGGCTACATGTCTTCTGTCTCTGTGGGTTTCGCTGCAAAAACCAACAAAGTCATTTTCCTATGGGTAAGAAAGATACAATAAAAAAGTTGCCATTCAACACCAAATTTTTTCCCCCTAAGATCCCAAATGGAAGGAAATGAAAAGAAAAAAGGGAGAGAAGTTCCTTTTAGACTGAGTCGATGATGATGGTGATGGGGATGGGGATGATAATTAAAATGATCTTGATAATGGTGATGATGATGATAATGCTGATACTGGTTTAAATGGTGATGAAGATGGTGATGATATGATGATGGTGATAGCAGCAGTGATGTTGATAGTGACAGTGATGAAGATAATGATGATAATTATAATATGTTGATGATAATGGGGGAAATGTTTTTCCTTTTCACTCCTGTTATTCCCTTTTTTATCATTTCTTTCTTTACCAATATTCACCAGTAATTAAGATTCACTTTTTAATATTCTTTATCCTTATAATCCAATTTCATTTCACTGTTAGTATTTCACCTTCTTTACATTCAACAGATTTGAAAGATATGAAGTGCTTTCAGTTTTTTCCTCTACAATGTTAACAATGTTTGGAGCACTATTTATTTTCAAAGAAAGGTATTGCTTTATATTCAACTGTTTTTTGAATTTCTGAATACTAATACTCCCATTTCCAGTTCGCATTTACTCAATCTTACATGTAGCCTCGATTGTGTACAAATGTTTTCTTTTCTTTCATTAAGGTCCATTGTATAGTAAGGAATGTACGTACTATGGTACAATACGAGTTGATTCCACAGGCTATGGTTGAATAGCTGAATATTATAATGCACAACTTAGACTAAGGCTGAGCAAAGAGTTTTTGAAACTGGAGTATTGGCATTTTTATTTATTTTCCTCTTTTGTTTTTCAATTTAGTATTGAAAGGTTATTGATGCCTGCTGAAGTAACAACGTAAGTGTTCATTAGACCTTAGATAAATGATTAATAATTAGTGTTCCATAAAAATCTGTCTCCCCTTTAATAGACCAGATCTCCATTACTCCAGGAATTGAGAGAAGCATAGGTTGTTGGCAGTAAAAATGTAAAAATGTAAAAAAATAAATTAAAAAAAAAAAAATTGGTTGTTGGCATCTATCAGTGACCTAACATTGACAGGGGTAGTCATGGTTTTGAAACTTTGTACCAATTATTATCAATACAGCATTCATGAGCAAAATCATTTGTTGTTTATTTTCTCCTGTAGATACTTACTTAAGCCCATCACCCTCATATCCTGTGCTGTAAGGATTTTTCTATCAATCCTCCAGTTTTCCTCTCTCCACAAAAATAAAAATTCCGTTTAAATGTGGGCATTCACCTTGATTAAACCTAGGCACTGTTGGGATTGCTCAACATGGTAACACATCTCATCTATGGTGGTATTGATATTTTCTGGTAAACTAACTGCACATTGTTAACATGTTCATGTATGTGATGGACACATTTACGAGGATTTTATATATTTTATTTTTCAGTGACAGTTTATTTGTCCTTGCCATTGCTGGTCTCTTTCTACATCTTCTTGTTACGTTTATGGCTGGTAATAAGGCACTGAATGAAGTTTCGAAAGGTAACTTGTCACGTTGCATTTTTTATCTTTGTATGTGTATCCTAAGTGAGTAGATATAGTAGACTATTTCCACTGACAATAGTCCAACATTTGTTGCACAATGACATTGAAGTAAGAATGGTATATAGCTATGGCAATGGTAATACCAGGGCTTAACATGACAGCTGGTCATTGGACAATGTCCAGCCAGAATTTGAACTTGTCTGGACAAATCTTTGCCTTGCAGCCATTTTGAACAGTAACCTTGAGACAGAAATGATCATGATATTACCAAGCTAAGACTAATTTGTCCAGTCGTCATGACTGACCAGCCATAGTATTTAGCCTGTAACAGGGAGAAAATTATCATTTTCTTGTATATTATTTTTTTCATTGCATTAGCTGCTACATCCAATTGGCTTCAGGATGCTGTGATAGATCTTGGTCACAAGTGAGTACTCTATCGGCACATGTTCCATATTCAATGATGAAACTTACTGTACTATAGTAACCTTCAATGCTTTCACAGACTTCAAAAATAATCATGATCATTTTAAACCTAACGATACCACACCCTGTAAATTGACACTAACGTAACTTTCCCATTCACCTTTGCATTCCCTCTTTTCCCTTCCCTGTTCTCTTTTCCCTTTTCATTTCCTTTTTTCCCCTTTCCCTCTCCCTTTCCCTCTCCCTTTCCCTCTCCCTTTCCCTCTCCCTTTCCCTTTACTTGCTATTTTCCATTTTCTTTTCCCTCCTTTTTTTCTTTTTTGTCTTTTCATTTCCTTTTTTTCCCTTTCCCATTCCACTTTCCTTTTTTCATTATTTCCTTTTGTTCTCTTTTCCTCTCCCTGTTCCTTCTCATTTCCCCTTTCCCTCTTGGTAGGAAGAAGATAGGCTTTTGACTATTAACATTTTGTACATAAGATTTTCACAGTATGTTTTGCTTTCTTACAAGTTCTATTTTTTTTCATTCCAGCATTTGTGGAATTTCCCCATTTCTTGGTAAAGTTCTCATTCAAAAGTTCAATCCAGTAGCATTATTAGGGATAGCAGGTGCTGCATGCGTACTCATAACAGATGCTTGTATTGACTACAAGTAAGTACAACAATCATCTACCTTTAATGATAAAACAATAATTATATTCCTTAGAATATCATGATTAATGGGAACAAACTTTTACTTGAAATGACAAACTGTATCAATATTCATCCTACACACAAGAATACCATTAAATTGATCTTTTTCTTGTTCCAGTAAAACATACACCTCAGACAGCTTGTGTGCTATAGTGATGACAACAGTTATTTGGGCGACAATGTTACCTCTTAGTATCTACAGTGGACAAGTTCTTTTACAGGTATGTATTTTTCTATACTTGGCATATTGTTATCAATGCTCGTTGTTAACCAGATGTACAATATTTTCTTTAGACTTGCCCAACAGATATTATGAGCCAAATAGACAAGTGTCTGCGTGAGGTATGGCACAGCAATGATGCTTATCTATTCTGAATGTCTCAGCCAAATCATTTTCTTAACAAATGTTTTTATTTTTTTCTAGGCTTCAACTTTGGATGGAGTTTTAGAATTTAGGAATGAACATTTTTGGACAGTGTCCTTTAACAAGATGGTAAAATATTCCCATAGCATATTTTATTCTGGCGCAAAGATATTTCCTAGTGTTGGTCTTATCCTAATCCTTCACCTTAATTTATTACCTCTGTTGAATTAGCTACATATTTCTTTCTTGTTATTTAGAGTAGATTAAATTCATGTCTCTCTCATAAGGCCCACAGTCCAGGCCAATCATCCTCTATAGCAGGATTTGTTAAGCCTTAAAACTGTAATCTGATGAAAAATCCGGTAGAATGACATTATGTGCAATCAAATGGTTTGCTAAAGACCTTTTGTTTCATTTTCTTTCTAGGCTGGTTCACTTCATGTTCGAATTCGAAGAGATGCCAGTGAACAAATGGTTCTTGCTCATGTAACTAACAAGTTATCAACATATGTAACATATCTAACAGTTCAAGTTTTTAAAGATGATTGGATACGATCTAGCAGTGGAACCAAACTAGCAACCCTCCCATCCTCATTTCCACGTGCACCCAGTTTACCAAAGATTCCAAATCCCCCTTCTCATTCCCATTCACATTCCCATTCACATTCCCATTCACATTCACATAATGCGGAAAACCCTTATACTGTTAATATGAATAGTATAGGTTCTGGTTACCCTGCAAAACCTTCTCAAAAGTATACAGATAGTCCATTAACTGTTCCCTATGCACCACCTAGTAAACTCAACTAAAACACAGAGAGGAATTAGGAGGGGTCAGAGAAAGAACAAAATTACAAAGTTTGTATGGAAGAAAATTTGAATTTCTGGGAGTAAGTGGAACGGGGGAGACTTTTAAAAATTCGCTCTGTGGGAGGGTATGGATAATTTTATTGATACACTAAAACAATTATTACAAGCTCTGGACTGATCAGGGCATGGCAAACTTACAGTTTGAAATAGGGTATTATTGGCATGATGGCATCATTTGACTACCTCAAACAAAATGCTTCAAGAATGTTCTTTCTTATTCAAATTGGTATTCCCTAATGAGAATAGTAATTAATAATTGGTGCTAATTAACTGAACAAAAGAAAGTGTGCAAGGTATTGATGGTTTTCAACCATTCCCAAGAGAATTAAATAACAAGACATGGCGTTCATGTTGGAGGATATAACAAAAGTATTCATTGGCAATTCTTTTGTTAAGTTCCTCCAACATGGCCGCCATGAAAACCATCAATTCTGGTCATTGTAGTTAATGAAACCATAAAGCAAATGTCCTATTGAAATTTATTTTTTAACTTCATTCTCTTGAGTATTATTTCTTGTTTATTTTATTGGATGTTACCTAAACTAGTGTGGTCTACAGAATAAGGGATATTATTAATGATAAGCATACATAGGAGTAAAGACCTTTATTACCTTCTGTGTTTAGGTAATTCAACTTGATAGTATATATTTTTAATTGGCAAAAAATATAAATTTAGTGCAAAATGTTGCACAATTCAGTGAAAGCTTTCATTCCATGAAGCTATCCAAAAAAGTAGCTTTAGAATGTTTCAATTATAGATCTAAGATTGTTATATTTGTGAAGTCAAATTGTCAGACGTTTTAGGTAAAAGTTGCATTGTGCAACAAGTTGAGCTACTATACAAGATTAATTAATACAAAATTATGTTTTCACTGAATATTATCATTATTTATTATGTTCATTGTCATGCTGTTAGTCACATTGTTTTGTTTTGTTTAAAAATTACTTGTAGAATAAGTACAATGTATATAGTAATGTACGAAAGATAGAATCTCAAATATTTCAAAAATAAATGAAATCCTCTCCATGCTAAAGCTCTAAGTATCCAATAAAATGGAAAATCGTTTTTTTTTTATAACTGCAGAAAATATAATTTTATTGTTAAATGCCAGACAATAATAACATATATATCAGCTTTAGGTTCATTGTTGTACATTCATGGCACAACATATCCATACTATTTCATAGTTTTTACCATACTACAAAACAAAAGTTACAAATTTTGGCATAACTAATTCTTCATTTACTAGAAAATAACTACAAAAACAACATTTCTGCAGACATTAACCAGAGCACATCATTTAGGGGCAAATTTTTGTCATGTTATCTGCATTAAGAATTTCAATCCAGTAGCCGTCTGGGTCCTTGATAAATGCAAGTCCTTTCATCTTCCCTATGAAGAAAAATTTGACAAGAAAAGTCAACCATTTACTGGATAACAGGGCTGTTATGTTGCTCATTATTCAAAATTAAACTTTATTGACACTCTGAAAGAACCACTGGGTCTTAGGTTTTGCAGAGGGATAAGAACCTGGAGAAAGATCAATGGAGAGACCTAGCTAACAAATACTATTTGCATGTGATGGAAAGTCCAGGAATTGAACCAAACACCCAAGAGGGAAAAGCAAGTGCACTATCATTACCATCACCCAAGATGAAAGAAAGTACCTAGTGGCTCTGTAAGTTTTGAAGAGATATCAAACTAAGGTTATATCTTTGATATTAAAGCATTGATCATACCATCATTTGGTTTCTTGACAAACTGCACCCCAAGCTGATCAAATCTCTCGCAGGCCTTGTCAACATCAGGAACAACTACACCTATATGACCTGTTGATCACATGCAACAATGAACATTTTGGCTTTTAATGCAAAACAATAAAGTATAAAATAGCTATTAAATTAAAAAACAAAATGATGAACATTATCATAGTTCAAACAGGGAATGTTTTGATGACTCTTCACTTAGCATTTTCCCCACCACAATCCCTCCTTCCTTACAGTTTGGCAAATCAGGTTGTGGTCCCTTGTTATATTGCTATTCCCTGCTGATTTCAACAGGTTTATTCTGCCAGCATGCTAGAGGCACATACCAAATCCTTTAGGTTCAGTGTTCCCATTGTGATATGATGCATTTGGATCATTTTCTGTTCCCCAGTTACTAAAAATAGTAAACAGACATATACCATTAGTATCTAGATGGCAATCATGAAAGATAAATTGACATACAATGTTAATCTTTCTTTAAAACAGAACATGGAATCCCAAAAGAAGGAAACAACTGTACCTTCTTTGACATTCATCTTAAATGGCTGGGGGAGATCTAGAGTCCAAGTCTTGGGGGTAGGGAGTTTGGGGTTTCTATACTCTTTCTGCCATGCAAGATGCAAGACTCTAGAGACTTCAGTATCAGAGACAGTGGAGAAGGAGTCACTGGAGTTGGCCGGAAGGGGGGGGGGGGTCTTAAGCTTCCCCATTTCTTGCTAATGTGTCTAAGCCCCCCCCCCCCCCTCCAGTCCTTAAAAAAATACAGGCTATTCTAGTTTATATTACATTCTCAAATCTAAGCCCCCTCTGATTAAACTTTTGGATTAGCAAATGAGGAAATTTTGACATACTGCGTAAGCTCCAGAGTGGCTTTCCTCGTAAATGCCCATTTTGTTCTTTCAAGTGGGTCACTTGGCATATCCTCTTCCTTCTCAAAGCCCATGAAGAACAATGAAAACTTCATTTCAGGAAAGTCATATTTGGTCAATAACCTGTTCAGGAATAAAGGAAATAAAAATGAATTCATCCCGCCTTCAGTTAATTTAACAAGAAAACTAATGAAGGATTCTGGTAGTGGATGAGAATCAAACAGCTGATCAGCGCAAAGGTACCTCATTCCAAGAATGCGGGAATAAAAATCAAGCGAGGCTTTGGGATCCTTTACACGGAACATAGTCTGCTGGAAAATAAAATCATTAGTGCTAGGATCTGGAGTACTCAAAGCAGCATTCACATCTTCCTGTGACAAAGCCATCTTTTTTTCGCCGAGCTCCACAATACTCAGTCACATTGAACGTCTGCGTGCACTATCCTCGAAAATACGCCAGGCGTTCCTTACGTCAACAGGAAGCCCAAAACATGATTCCGTTTAAAACCCACTAAACGGCCTTAAATGTCGCTGAAACTTTACCAGAAGATTTTACAAGCTACGAAAACTGGAACAAATTCTCTAACAAATTGTTTAGTTAAAAAATTTATCATATATCTAATATTCATAGACAGGCTTACACATTGTTTGGGTTTCCTGTGGACCTCTGGTAACTGGTATATCATTCAAGATGGCGTCCAATACACTGAGGTATCTTTTTGCTGGCGGTGTTTCTGTGGCAATCATGGGAACCGGATACTTGTTGATGAGAGTTACAACACCAGATAAAGAGACTATGTTAAAGGTAAGACTGTTGTGTGTTTTTTTTCTGTAAAGTATTCACAATTTTGGACGTTTGTATTACATAACATATAAAATACCCCAACTTTTACACCTTGAATATATATATTTTTTAATTTTCCGATGAAAGCTTGAAATAATAATTTCACTTAGCTTTAAGGCAACTCTCATAAATGATTAATGTTATTTGGTACCATGGCTAGCTTTCAGTAGTGTTTATCCTGGAACATTTACAGTTCCTCTCCCTTCCCCTACCCCCTTGAGTTAGGCTCAAAATAATCCAGATTCAGAAATTATAATCTCTCTCAACACTGTAAATAAATGTAATAAATTCTTGTCATCTCAATACTATCATGGTGCATCCATTAATTCCCTTCGCCTCAGGAGCATCCATATATAACCAACCCTAAAGCAAGTTCACAATTTTGTTTTTGATAAATGTTTATTGTAGAGATTACCAAAGGACCAAGTCGATCCACAAAGAATGGCAGAAGTTGAAAGACGAAATGCAGAGATGTTTAAAGTACTAGCAGAAAACACAAAACTAGATGCTCCAATATGGCAGGTCAAGGGAAGAACTGATCTTGATGAAATGTCATCAAAGAAATGAATAGGTCTTGCCTGTATATGGGAGAATGTGTGAAGAACAAATGGGATCCAGATGCAAAGACTCCAGTGCTATTATTTTCTATTCTTATTGAAATGGAATGAAACACAAATGGAAAATGAAGATGTACTACAAACATCCTCAAAATGTTTTGTAGGCAACTCTTTCCCAGTTTGGGCAAATATTAGGGTTGAATTTGATTAATCCTTAGTGACATTGAAGAATACAAATCTAAGCTCTAAAAGATGCACATATTGCAACTGATATTTGCCCCACCCAGGAAAGCCTTGCATTTCATCAGTGACAGCTTTGTTTATTCTCAATATACTTTTTCAATCATACAGGATCAGGAGCACTTTGACAACAAAAACAATCCAAATTTATTTCTTGTGACTATTTTTTTTGTTTCATTCGTGATGCGTCATCAGTTGATGTAGTGTATTATTGACTTCCATGGTGATCTATTGTCTTTGTATATCTTTTTATATGTTATGTATTTTTTATTCTTTTCATATATTACATCAACTGAGACTATCTAATAGACCTATCCCGGATACGCTGGACTGACCACGAAACAATGGTTTGAAGTCAAGACTGAACTTGATTCTTTTATTTATCAAGTTCAACCTCGACTTGAAACCATCATTGCGTGACCAGTAATAGGTCTATTACACTGTTAGATTGCTACAAAGGTCTATAAAAAGTATTAAAGATTTTGAATGACTACTGTAAATACATGTATTAAGAGCTGGGGCAGCCAGGAAAGAGAAAGTATATGCCTAGCCCCCAATCTTAGTGCCAAACATAACACCACCATCATTTTACCCAAGTCAGTAATTTCAATGGATCAATGCTTCCTCTAAGTATATATCATCTAATATCCAAGCTTTTGGCTCATCATGAAAAACAAACAGAGCGAGTAACTGTTTATCAAGACGAAGTTTCAAATTTCATGGTTCTTGTGCAGTCTGTTCTACTTTCTCATGAAAATACTGTGTCATCTGATAATCCCTTTCCTCTAGTCCATCCACAAACCGGTTTTTGTCCACATCTGTCCAGGTCCTAAACCACTTGTCCAACATCCTTAGCTGACACTGAAACACGTCTTGACTATTGTTTTCTAAATTGAGAGTCTCCATTGCATCATATAATGAGCATACTTGCTGTGGAACAACCTTTGTCACTAAATAATCCATGAATTTTGACCGCTGGTGTTGACCCCACTTTTCAAACCAAGACCAGGATATCACCATTTGTTCTTCGACTTTTGTGGACGCCATTCTCTTAAGAAAAAACCCGGAAGTAACGAAACTCAGAAATAAAACACTTTATACCTATCTTCATGGCATCTAAACGTTTGTGTAAGGTACAGCTGATTTATATTTCATAAACTTCCTAAAGAAGCGAGGCAATATCTGCAATATTTGATAGGCGTTCCGCTAGAGGACGAGAGCAATCTGGGTCCTACATTCGAAAACCAACATGGCGGACGAAGTCAAAGCAAATCTGTGTAAAAGAAATGGAGAAATGAAGGTCTTTAAAGAAAGCATTATGAAAGAAACAAGTACAAATAAAACAAATTTAGATGCTTTAATTGGTTCTTTAATGAAAGTTCAAAAGCAGGTGAATGAAGCTTTAACAGAGATAGTTGAAGCTGAGAGAAACACTTCTACAAACTCAAGTAGCAAGACAACTAAAGGTAGGGTCGAACGGTTATGTATAATCCAATTCATTATTTATTGCAAGATCGTAGTGGAGGGGGAGGATGGATTAAAATTGTGGATTTATAGTTTAAATGATTGTTTGAGCAGGCATTCTGGATGGGGTCTGTGGAAGGAGGGAGGGGGGGGGGGGGGGGGGAATTTCCACAATCCATGGACAGCATTCTCCCTGCAATCAGGCACTATGATTCTGAAAAAATTACTTCGTCCAATTTCCCAAGATATATAATAGCAAAATATCCTGTCTCCCCCCCTGATAAATGAAAAAATTGATTGACTGATTTTGTGTTGCAGATATTGATGTAGATAATGAAGATGATGATGAGAACAGTGATGATGATGATAATGATGATGATGGAAATGATAACAGTTCAAGTACAGATTTAGGCAAGAACAATTCTTATGCACCTGTACCAAAGAAACCAAAAACATAATCAAAAGATAAAGAAAATTTAGAGCAAATAATTACGTCTCATTTTCCATATCTGGCCACATGTGACAAACATGTGGTTACATTCCAGTGTTACAATTAACAGGCCAAGAGTCTACCAATAGAAGTCAGGACAAGCCAAGATTATCTTGAAGAGTTGCAGAAATGTTGTATTTATTATGAGAATATGCCAAGCAACATTTATAGAATAGATTTTTCAATTTTGACTATGTTTGGTATTTTACATAACAATAGCATTTATTGTTCCTTATGATATAAACTGGCTAACAGTGTATTTTATCTCAGAAAATGTTTAGCCATTAATCTATATATTGGCGGGGTATTTTGTTTATCTTTTTGTCTTTATTTGGATGTTTGTTTCTTTGTTCCTTTTTTTGCTGTTTTATCACAACTAAAAACTGAGTATTTCTTAAAACTCTTACAGTCATCTTTCTTTCTCTCCTTCTTTCATTCTTTCTTTCTTTCTTTCTTTCTTTCTTTCTTTCTTTTTTCCAGTCTTTCTTTCCATATTTTTTTCTCCTGTTTCGTTTTTTGCCCTTCCTATTTCCCCACAGTGCCAAGGTACCAACATTAAGAAAATCCTTTATTGTCTACAAAAATTAGCATTTGAATAATTCAGTAGCATTTATACATGTTTGTCCAATGATTTGTATAAAAAATAATTTGTACTTCTGATAAACGAAATCAATATTGACATTTATTGTGATATTTCTGAAGAACATACTAATTCTATCTTTCCTTTTTTCCCTCGCTTTCCCTTTCTTTGTTTCCCTTCTTTGTATCGTTTCTTGTTAGTTCACGATTTGCTTCTCTGTTTCATGACAATTAATTTCAACATTAATCAAGAGAGCGTAATAAGCTTATTCAGTATACTCTCTTGCATAATGTGTTTAATTTCTAGCTTATAGTAAGCCATAATTTCGCTTGGTTTGAATATCCAGTCGATTAATTATGAAGACAGGTGTACTAAGGAAGTCAGGATGTTTTGGCGCCATGCTGGGAGGCTCACAGTTCTTCGGTCGTCTACCAACCAATCACATGCGAATATCACCTCTAGTAATTTAAAGCATCATTCAGACTCAATTTTAGATGCAATGCTATTGGGGAGCAAATAAACCTCGATAAAAACTAACTAGAAAATTCTAAAGAACTCTACCAGCGAGTGGCTTTGAATCCCTACAAACAAAGAACTGAAAAAATGTGAATTTTCCGTTATTTTGCGAAGCAGAAACTTAATCGCAACGTCAACTATAAGTAGTGGAAAGGTCAGTATTTTTAGGACAATACTTTTGGCGTTAAAGACATGACAAAACGATTCTTCATTGACTCTCGTATTATACTCGCGAAATACAGAGACAAAAACGGTGAGTTTAGATTCAAAGGTAAGTTTGTGCTGTGGGACTAAGTTCTTCCCATTCTTAGTGACTGATTCCTTTTGAGGTTATGCGCAAATACTAAGCGATTCAGTTATGACAGGTGCGTTTTCATTTTGACATGTTATACCGTGTTGTATTATCATACAAACTTAGAAGTGGGATATTTCGCTGGTGTTTGCTTCGTGCGAGAGTATGTTTTTGTTGGATATACCCTTTACACAATATATCATACTGAATCGAAAGAAAAGGAACCCAAGAAAGTCAACGATCTCGTAAATAATTAAAAAGAGTTAGAAAGCATTAATTCCAGTTAGTAAACTAGAGAAATTAAAGGGTTGGAGTTCATTTCATCCGATTTTTGGGAAATTTAGTCTAAAAATATTAAAAAATGAATGAATATGAATAGAACGGTATCTCGACACTTTCTCCTTTATTGTAGCCCTAGGCGACGATTTTTAAAACATAATAGTTTGTTGTTATCCTCGTGTCGCTTTAAGTCTAGAAAAATAAAATAAAATCTTAAGTTTTTTCGTTTATACTCTTGTTTCGGCTCTGCAGGGCTCACACTATTGCACTCATAAACTCTAATGTATTGTATAGAGCGATAAAGGCTAAGTAAATACTAATATTATATTAGTACTCGGTTAATAAATGCACTGAAAACCTAATGCCCCATGCACCCAACCTGTACTTGGTTCCGTAGAAAAGGTTATCCAGACAGATTAACTTTAAGATTAGTTTGAAAAGAGCTTACGTACAGTCTGTCTGCATCTGAACAATCATATCATGCACTAGTACGGCACACAGTTTCCCGCTAAAATAATTTTAAAGGACAAAATATCGTTTCCTCATTTATATATTTATATATAAGAAGGTGAGCACTGCCTCAGATGCATTTAGTAAGATACATGAATCTTTCCAATGCATTTTCTAAAACTGGAGGAAATATTGTGAAACGCTATTTTTACACAGCTTTTCTATAATACCCGTCCATCCCTCCCTTTCTCCCTCCTCTCTCTATCCCTCCATTCTATCTCCTCGCACACCCTACTCCTTCCATCCCTCCTTTCGTTTCACAGGCTCGTCCCAGTCGTTACTCAAGCTTTTTTAATGCTCGCGATGGCTTTTGGGAAGGAGAGAGATGCACCGCGACCTCATTAAATCCTTCCCATCATCCACAGAGTGGCATCATGCACATGGTCTGAAATGTCCACAACAAAAAATGAATCTAAAAACTGGATCTATTGTTTATTTAATTTTGAAACACGATAATCAGATTTAAAATTTAATTTATCTAACTTTTTATCATTTCCCATTTTCAGTTGCAATTCTGGCATCCAACTCCAACAGGGCGCCACCGGCCAAGCTGTCCATGAATTCCTCCACATCATTGTATCTGTATGGCCTCTTAGCCGTATTTGTATTGTGCAGTGTTACCCTTACCTGGGACACACCCATGTTCCAACAATATCACGAACACTACATGTCACACTCAACTTACAGGGGAGTTGACGTATTCACAGAAAAGCTAAATTCACCCACAGGACCAGAACATTTTATGGAGAACTTCTATATTTGCTATGGACAAGATGGTCGTAAAACTTACTACAAAAAACTGGACAAAACGTACTTTTCCAACAAGCGCTTCTGGATTATCACTTCGAGTGGGAAATTTATTGCGTCAATGAAATCCTGCTAAATTAAAAAATATTCATTAATTTATTGCGATAGTGTTTTGCGCATTTTTTGCTCTTGACCATGTGACAATGAATGAAATGTGAATTACTTTCTATAGCCAATCAAAATATTCAACAGCCATTGATGCATTCAGGAAAACAAAATATATCATTTAAGCGCAGTTTCCTAATTGGATAAACAAACGCTTAATTTCGCTTTAGCCAATCAAAAAGCGGAAAATTGAAATCTCATCGATATCCAATGAAAATGCTTAAATTGTCTTCAGAAGCCACTTGAGAGTTGAGGCCCGGAAACGCGCGTGCAATAGTTGCATCGTGTGTCAGGCAGGCTTTTACATTACCACTCAGATAACATTTACTCGGGCTTATTAAACCTATGCTGTTTTAACTGATCTTGAAAAATGCTATACTGCGTAAATAAACTTTCACATATATAATTACATAACATAGACAATGCGTAGTAAAAGAATAAAAGTATTCTGCAAAAGTATTCTGATTCACGCGAATAATTAACTCATGCACAGCTTAAAAACGTCTTTTAAAAAATTAAATGTTGATACCTTAACCAAATATTGTATATTTCCTTCAGAGGTTTGATTTAAATGCAATAAATATATTTGAAAAATCTGGAATGAGTCTTTTCTTTTCAAAATCCGCTCTTCTCTACCTAAATAATGGAAAAACCCACTAAACGGCCTCAAATCGCGCTGAAACTTCGCCAGAAGACTGAACAAAGTAAAAGCAACGACTGCAGCAAGTTTTGAGGCAAATTGTTGAGTGAAACATTTTATTTTCATGACCTTAATCATAACTCCCATGCATTCCCTTATAAACCATACACAGGAACCTTGTTTGGGCTGCCTGTGTTTAAAGTTATTTTAAGGTGATTACCAAATAATCGAAAATAATCCTGAATCAATCAACATCGTGAGTTATTGGTCGGGAAATGAAAAGTGAAACGGTACACTAAGTTTTTTGTGTCTGTGTGTCCTTCTGTCCCATTAAGAAACCATTCAAGATCCACCCTACTTAGGTCAAGGGTAGCTTAATTTCCTAAAAAGGTGTTCGTACAGTAAAGACGCAAGAAAAACCTTGAAACATAATTTTTTGAAAGCATCTTAATAATTATTTCCGGTTCCTTCTTACCTCATGAGCTACCCGTGGCGCAAGGCCTGGGGTATAAGATTACGTCATCTCAACATGGCGTGATTTGGGGTCCCTGTGTTCGAGTCTTGCAAACCGTTTGAAAGCGTTTAGGAGTGGAAAAATCTGGATTGCTTACAATCAAATGTAGTTTTAAACTGGACAAGACTTGGGAATCTTCATACTAATCTTTTAAATGGGAGCTTTTCTAGACAAACCAAAGACTGAGAAGGAAACGAGGAAAGGGGAGGGAAATGGGTTACGATACGGAGTTGCCGCCATGCAGGGCTGGCGTGTAGAAATGGAGGATGCACACTCGTCGATAGTATCTCTGTCCGAACAGCTAAAAGACTGGTCATATTTTGGTGTTTTTGATGGCCATGCAGGCGCTAATGTTAGTAGGTTTTGTGCTGAAAATCTTCACAGCTTCATTTTAAAAAATACGAAATTTCAAGCAGCTATCAAAGAGAATTCTTCCTCGCCTGACTTGAACCTTCTTGAACAAGGGATCTGTGATGGGTTTTTGGAGATGGATGCTGCTATGAGAGAGTTGCCAAACTGGAAGAGTGGGGAAGATAAGAGTGGATCTACAGCCGTCACTTTGATAGTTACACCTACGTATTTCGTATTTGCAAATTGTGGGGATTCAAGAGGAATTTTGTGTCACAATGGCGAAGTGTTGTACAACACGGTCGATCATAAGCCAAGTCATACCAACGAAAAAGATCGAATCGAAAAAGCTGGTGGAAGCGTTATGATTCAACGCATTAACGGAGCTCTAGCAGTATCCAGAGCATTGGGGGATTTCGAGTACAAATTAGATTTAAGTCGTGATCCAAAAGCACAGCTAGTATCTCCAGAGCCCGAGGTATATTTTCAAAGTCGAGGCGAGCACGATGAGTTTGTGGTCCTTGCCTGTGATGGGGTTTGGGATGTCATGTCCAATTGTGAAGTTAGTGCTTTCATTCGCTCTAGACTCCAAGTTACTGACGACTTGGAGAAAATATGCTGTGAACTACTCGACACATGCCTAGCGAAGGTAAGTAACTCTTTTCTTGATTCTAAATGTGCTCAATAAGTACTTTTCTGTAGTGGGCTGGTTTGACCATCCCCACCTACAGACAGCTTCTCGTTTTGCCTTTAAAAACATACCTAACTTAACTCTAATACCACTGCTCTTACACACAAAAGCTCTAAGCTATTTTAATTTGACTTGTATTTTCATTTGACTTTATAATTACTGCCCTGTACCGTCTAATTTTTTTTTCTTTTTTCTCCGAGCCCCTATTTCCCCCCAAAAATAGCTATGAGCATAAAGCATGTGTTGTAAGGAATTTCGCTTGGTTGAAAATCTCTATGCTTCGCTGCTTTGTCTGCTCAATTATTCGATTCCTTCACATGTAAAATGATCTCGGAAGTACAAATTTGTACTCTAGTTGTTGTCTTCATTGATTATTGTATACCTTAATCAAAATGACACTACTTGAAGTAAGCTGTAATGATGAGTACTCTTCGACATATTCCACAGATACGTGCAGGTTTTTAGAACTACATGTACATGTATCTGAAACAATAAGCATAAATTATCACATCTCACACTTTTCTCCATGTTATACATGTAATAAAAGAGTAATTAATACCCACACAAATTGATTTTGTGCTTTTTCTGTTGAAGATCAAAGGAAAACCACCAATAGTTTTTCTTAATTTCAGTTTTTCTCGTAGCTCATGCATAATTCATTAGCTGTTTTTAGACACATTAATGTGCTGTCATATAATCTACWCTTTTTATGCTGAATTAAAAAATTTATTCTAGGAATTGTTGTTTTTAACCAACATTTAACCTTATCCCGTCATGACATACACTTTTCTTAGAACACATTTTTATTATAATGACATTATGATGTTGTTTCTGTGTCACTGTATATATTTTTGCCCTTGTCTACTGTATTTTGKGATTGACAGAGTATCGTGTTTCTTGTCACACTCTACAACATGCAGTGGCTTCTAAGAATAACTATTCTTGGGAGGAACAATTGTATTTTCTAAAGAAACTTCATATTCTTTAGATAAAAAGAAAAATAACTGAGTTTCCAAGGAAAACCATAATGTACTGCTCTTTATTAGTTTTTTAGCAAAAGATCCAACATGTTTTTGATGACTGTTATTTTTAAATTCTTTGAAATAAAACAGTTTCCCCACCTTCTATCAAATCCTTGAGGTATTTAGAATCCCTATCGCATCACTTCCTTAAGCGTTACAACACTATCACGTGGCGTTAGGTACTTTTTATTAAATTATTTCCTGTCTCTGAAGCCATTAGATTTAATAATACACACGTAAACAACAAATATTCCAATATGATAGTCTTGATTGTTAGTTTAAAGTATTTTAAATGCTTCTTGCTGAAGTAATGTCATACTAAAGAAGTTTACATAGTTATTTGATCTTCACTTGGTGTTTCTGTTTTATAAGGTTTATACTTGGACATTTTTTTAGACGGTCTACTGCTTATAGTCAAAAACAGTAATAAAATGGAGCTGTACTTGAATACACACACACAAATTATTCTGTTATAAATAAGTTTTCATACCTCAAAAGTGCAAAGATATTTTTGGTCAAAAATGTTCTACATATTACATGTACATGTGGCAACAAACTTTCAAATTAAGACTCAAAGTCTTGATTGATTTTGAACTTTTTTCTTGACTGATTTTGAACTGCTTTCTATTTCAAAAAGCAATGCTTTGTTGATGAATCATTCACTAACATTCACTTCATCATTCATTATAATTGAAAATTGTCTCTGACTTCATCACTTCATCAGCTTGTTCTTTTCATTTATTTTAGTACTATATCATTTTGTTGCATGCTTTCTCTAGATTTGTGTAAAATATATCTGTTTTGTATATATATATATTGTATCTCTGCATATAATTGCTTAAACATCAGAAACATGTTCTTGCTTTGTGGTGGTTGTTGAGTAGGCTCTTAAAATTTACTCTACATTTCTCTTCTCTCAAAGTTTTTACCCTAGAGTACACGCAATAATCCCTTAAAAAGTACTAACTAAATGGTACTATTAATTTAATAGGATTTTAACAATTAATATAGTTTTAGTACATTTTTATGGGTTTGTTGCTTTTTTTTGACATATCACACAACATAAGATTGTTATATATTTCACACAAATACATTATTTTCTGCTATTCTTCATATTTTATTCCTAATGCAGCAGCAACAATCAGTTTCATGCTTTTGTTCCATAAATCATTAAGCATGGTATTTCACTTGCAAGCCATTTGGAAACAGCTTGATATGATGACGTGAAAACCGGAAAACAGAGTCAAATTTAGAAGGGCATTAGGAACAAGATTGAAAGGGCCAGAAGCTTCCTTGTGCTTACAATTATTATGACGAACAGTTTTCACTGCTTCCGGCACTCATTCTGACTCTGACACTCTGACTCTAATTGCAAGTGAAAATCAGTATCAGGATAGATAGTTACGTTTTTTTGACTGCAACCAAAGTAGCTTTATAGTGCTAAGGATATTTCCAGCTGCCAGATCAACCTTCTTGATATTGACTTGATTTTTTGTTATTGGTTTTATTTATATTAGTATAATATATTAATAATTTTCCCTTAATTTTTTTTTATTTTATTTAACTTGTGGTGTTGATAAAAGGATTTGGGTTACAAACAAGTTAGTGTTCTATTTTTCAGCCTTTTGAATTCGCTTCTTAAATGTACATTGAATTGTTTGTATAGCTTAGCAGCAAAAGCAAAAAAAATGATAGATAATGGAACTTGTTCAAACACTCTTGAAGTCTTCTAGAACATTACCTTGGCATCTATAGATGGGTTGTTATTAAAAGAAGATGAAGTATTTGAAATCATACAAGTTGATTGATAGTCACTTTGACTATCCAATACGTACTTATCACACTAATTACTGAGTTTACAAAGTATGGGTGGAAAAATTATAATAATATAATATAAATATATTACAATATTGTTAAGTTTCTATGATTATATATGTATGTATTTATTTATTATTTATTTATTTATCTGTTTATCTATTTATATTTATGTATATGTATTACTATTTACATTATCTAAAGTCACACAAAAAACACATATAAAAAAAACTGACACAAAGAGAAAATGGATATCAAATTAAGCGGAATCTGGAAGAGTGTTTGCATTAGATGGATGTTATATAGACATGAGTGATAAACATTTATAAGTATACAGTATGATTGGCCATGTTCTATCAGATATACAAACTCGAGGTGTATATCGGATACAACACGGACAGGAATACTGTAGATTGCTGGTTAAATGTATAGGTTAGTTCCTTTGTGTTTCACTGATTTCTGTTGTGTTTTCCTCGTGCATTATTAATGAGTTTGACAATTATTATTATTTTAGGGCAGTCGTGATAACATGAGTGTCATTATCCTTTTGTTACCTGGATCACCTAAGGTTTCAGAAGAAGCCATCAAACAAGTGAGT